GTCTGCCAGCCGGTATTTCTTGACACACATTTATCGACACTTCGAACAACCTCTCACGAAACCATTCACAGCTGCCAAGCCGTCCCACGGGGCCATCCACCCCTGACATGCAACCCTGCACCCATCACCCGCCATGGGGATACTGTTCGCTTCACCGCACACCGGTCACTTACTATTCCGACGCACCTGTGACAACTGAGGACCTCCAGACTGCCGTCTCTTGGTACTTCAACCTACCAAAACGCAGCGGCGCGTCGTCATCTCGAACTCATCATAACCGTGGGCTCATCATAACCGTGGGCCAGTCACAAGCCCCCTGCTAGTACGGCTGCCAACCGTGGCCATTGAGGTGCCGTACGCGCGTACTCTGGCTCACCATGGACCGCTCGACTACAGGCACATCATTCTTCCGTCAGCCGACGTCCACTCTAGTGTCATCAACGCGTGCTTACTACAGCCGTGGAGCAGTCTCCTGCTGCCGCTTAGTCATTCAGCCAACCTCGAGCCGCTGTAGTGTCGTCCGCGCAGGTCTTTGTCAACCCTGGTCCAGTCTCTGGCCACTTCTTCGGGCATCCGCCCGCCGCCGGCCACTGCAGTGTCATCAACGTTTGCTTACAACAACCCGGATCCAGTCTCCTGCTACCGCTCCATTCATCTGGTCACTATCTGCCACTCGGGTGTCATCTTCACGTGTATACCATCATCATGGGCTAGTCTACTACCAGCGGTTCATTTGCTGGTGACCAGGGAACGAGTCATCTGCCCTTGTTTCGTTCTCCCAGTAACCTTGAACCACCGGAGTGACATCAGCGCGTGCTATTCCCAACCGCGATCCTGTATGCTGCGCGCACTTGCACTTCTACCAACCGTGGACCACTCGTGTGACGTCGAACGTCCGTCTTCGTACACACAGACCAACGAACCGTCCCTATTCCATCAGCCAGGTTGCATTTGGCTAATTCTAACACTATAATCGCGTTAGAGGAACACCGGATGGTGATATCGAGGTGTCTTTTTCTTTTTCAGCAAAGCAAATCGGTCATATATGGGCGTCTAGACACCCTGAAGTAAAGGTGGAAGACTTCGTATCCGTTATCGGGAATTATTCGCGTAAAGTCCTTCGACCGATAGCGGCAACGATGATGGCAAGTGGGTCCTTCCAGCCATCCCCTGTACAGTCATATCGGCAAAAAAGTACGAGCGGGTTAGAGCCGATGGAGGTTGGTCTCGAAGGCATCAAAAATGCCCTTTTTGGTTTCTAACTTTTGGTGGTGTGTGGGCTGCCCTGTGTGGCGACGAGTGAGGACCAGACAGACTAACAGTTCCACGTTGGGGATGTCGAGCTCGTCGTAGTCTGACATCTCGGCCGGCAGTTGGTGCACCTCGCCGCTGCACTCGGCCCAGGCGTACTCGCCGATTGGGCCAGTACGCCTGGGCCGAGCGCAGTGGCGAGATGGCCCACGGCCGCGCGTCCGACGTCGCGCGCAAACTAGCTGAGGCCAGACCGTCCACCTAGTTGCGGTCACATTACCACGGAATCCACCTATCAAGGTCGTTGTTGTGACCATCTCGACCTCGCCCACGTTGCAGCAGACCCCGACCGCTTCGGCAAGGAGACGCTGCCGGAGAACCCGGCCTAACCGGGCGTCCGCTGGGTCACGAAGCCCCAGCCCAGTGGCGATGTCCACCCGCCCGTCCGCCACAGAGGTCCGAAGACGCTTCCTCTGCGACTCCACTGCCGCGTGAGCCGCTTCCAGCACGACCGGCGTCGCGGCACTGCCGGCCGGCTCACCCGATCCGGCTACCCTTATCATCCTGGCTGGCTTGGGCGTGGTGGGTGCTTGACAAACCAGGTCGTCCGCTGCACCCAGCTCCAGCGCACCCCGAGTGGGATCTCGGGCGGCGAAGACCCCTAGGGCGGTCTTGACTCCACGCGTTCGGTGACATGTTAATCTGTGGCGCAAAGAGCGAAGGGGTGATAGTTGCAATCTTTTAAAACCCCGCACACGTTGGAAAACTGCGACGGCTGGGTCTGAAAAGCAGAAAGTAATTTGTTCTAGCGGTGGCTAACGTTGGGGCGGTGACATAAGAACTTCTAAGCAGTGCTTCGGATATGTAGCGGAGTTTGAAAAGACGCGCTGTTGACACGTCATGCCGTAAACACCAATCTACGGCGTGGAGTAGTGGTGCTCCACTGTTGTTGGGGGTGGGGGG